AATAAACAAACAAACAAGAGAGACACCTAAAACTTAGGCTATTCTAATCCCTTTATATAATTTCTGACTGGTACTAATTGTGTTGTCAAGAGAAAAGAGTAATACATGATGAGGCAGATGTTCAGCTCTTTTAAAGTTGGTAAGTTTGGGTTTGGTAAGCAGTCTCCAGAGGTCTAAGAATTGGACATGTTAGTTCCTGGGCCTTGGAAGGTGTTGCCCCCTCCCCTCCCCACTCCCAAAATATTTTTATTTTTAGAAAAAAAAAATTCACAAAAACTCAAAAAGTCCCTCATAGTCTTTAGTGGCCAGATTTTTTAAAAATACATTTTTTTAAATGTGGGTGCGGAGAAGTGCCCTTCCAACATGTCAGAATAACTGTCATACCTCCTAGAGAGCACAAGGGATTTTTTAAAAGTCAATTTTGGGGGGAGACAGGGAGACTGGTGGCACATTTAGGCCTCTGGGGTCTGTTTGCTGGCCGCATGTTGACCACCGCTATCTTAACACAATGAATAGTCTGCTGAGGTGAGCCTAAGAAAGGACCCCATGATGACTTTTCAGTTTCGAAATGTTTTTTTGAAAATGCTCAATTATATAATGAAATGGAAGTAATTGTTAAATCCTAAAATGAACTTCTGTAAAATCTGCTGACATTTAAAACCAAATTTTATTATAATTATAGACACGACTCTTGTACTTATGAATTTTATCTCCAGATCAATACATGATTCATTGTATTTCTAATATGGGCATCTGGCTTCTGGTTCCAGCCCTCAAATTAGAACGAGTGTTTTATATGAGAATAGAAGATAATGATTCTGAATTGAAAGTGAATGTATCTGCAGCTGCTTTCTCATGTCCTAGAGTTTTGATGGCCTGAAACTTTGACACTTTCAACACTGCAATTCATACCTTTAGGGGGCTGTTGCTCGTCTTGCGGTCACAGCTATCACAACAACAATTTAGTGCTTGGTTCTAGACTTTCTGCTTTTCACACGTCCTATATCTGTTCTTGTAGTATTCTTAAGAGATCAAATAGTAACTGATACCCAGTTTTAACCATACAAACACAGGTACAGGTGATACCTTTATTGAACCACTTAAAAAAAACCTAACAAACCGTCAAAAAAAGAAACAGCTAGATTTCGATAGTTCATCTTCATCAAGCTGTGCAGCAAGTTCTTGTGGGTAGTTCCAAAAATTACGTGCTTTTATTAAAGTCCCAAAGTCTCATGGCCAGTTTAGCTTCTTAAGAACAGCAGCCATGAGACTTTGGGACTTTAATAAAAGCACGTAATTTTTGGAACTACCCACAAGAACTTGGTGCCCAGCAGGAAGAAGATCACCAGTTAAAACAGTCATACTTAGCTCAAAGTAGCCCTTCTCAGACTTCTTGATAACAAAAACAGATATGGAAGAGAGGTCTTCCCTCCCCATAGTGTTGGCAAAAGAACAGTGAAGAAAAAAAAAGAAAAATAACATGTTTTTGAAAAGTCTTTCTGGTATCATTCTCCCCTAGAAATGGAGAAGGTCTGAAGCTTGTTTCATTGGAAATTCTTTCTAGCTGCCTGTAGAGAACTTGAAGGATTTGTAGAAACTCTGAGGGAGAATGTGCATCGGCTTCATAAGGGTAGAGGGCCTTTTATGCAGAAAGTGCTGTTGTTGCAGGAGCAACTCACACCCACTTGATGGCTGTAATTTGGATTTAAATCTCCTCAGCCTGGGTTAGGAATGCAGAGGCTGCTCATTCCTTCACCTTGCCTGTAGCCGACCAAGGTGCAGTGTATGTCAACATTTAACTAAAACATCAAATGTAACTAAATTTAACCAAACAGAACCAGGGATGTGAACTGATGGCAATTAGTAGTTGTCTGAGGTCATGTGTCATTTGGCTCAAAGTAATTTATGGAGAGGTGAGACTGTGTTTTCCCTGGCCCTGTTCTAAAGTCTTCCGCTGAGCCACATAGCAAATGCTTCAGTGCCGAGGCAAATTTGTTTGAATCCATTGAAATGCATCTACCTTGCTTACATTTAATAAAATGTGCTCTGCTGTTGTTGAAAATAAGATACTGGAATGTGTCTTAATGGACAATATTGTGTCTGAAGTAGCAGGAAAGTCATGGTTTATCTGTTCCAATAAAGGCATTTGAGTAATCTTCTCTGACCACTTGAAAGGTGATTGATATAAGAGGGAAATAAAACTGTAGATAAGAGAATAATGAAGCAATTTTCTGTTGATTGCAAATTAATGAGCCAAATTAACTCATTAGTACATATTTGTTTAATCTATATTATGCATCATTCCAAAACTCTGCGTATATGTTTGGAATATTTTTGAGTAGCAAGAAATTATGACAGGAATACTGAAGAGATGGCATTTCAAGAGTCAGAGCATAATATAATTTGTATCCTGGAGCAACATGGAATCAATGCACACACATACAAAAGTGTTCCCAGGTAGATAGATATTCAGAGCCAAAATTAGAAGCTGCAGCAGAATTTTATTATGGATGAAGTTGACATGAACCCTGCAAAGAACTCTAAAAGTCAGGCCAGTCAGTTAAAAATTTACTCACCTGGACCTGGTTTGTAGTCCAATGAGTCCTGCACTCTGGAGCAGACTGACAATTTTAGAGTCTTCTTCCCTGGTGCCTTTGCACTGGGGAAGAGAGGCCCAGAGAGTGTGCTGTTGGCCAACCAGTCTGGAACGGCCAGCAATGCTGAAGGGCCTGGTGGGCCTGATAGTTGCAATTTCCAATCTGGTCCATCAGGGTAACGGTCTATGGGGAGCCCCAGCCTCCTCTCTGGTTGTCTTCAAGAGGATTTCACACACACACACACCCTCCCTGTAATGCGTGGGGTTGTTTTATGATTGAGGGGAGAGGGAGTTGCAGAGGCTTTGGCTTGTACAATTGACGAATGTGGCCACTGCTTTATTGGGGGCAGCAGGAGTAGAGGGCAGTTTTACCAGTAGGAGCAGATCTTTGGTGTGAGAGAGAGGCAGTTGGCCCTGTTCCAGGCAAGCAATCTTCTACTCTATGGGATGGAGGTGGGTAGGGAACTGATAGGGGTGTGCCTGGTTCCAGAAGACTGCTGCAGTTCCCCACAGTTGTTGCCAGTAGTGTGTGTCTCTCCCCCCTCCTTGTGGATTTGTGGTCGTGGGGGTGATACATACCTACTTTTTGGCTACCAACTTATTTGGTTACCCAACAATGCGCTGGGATGGGAGGCATCAGATGGCAGGCAGGTCATCTGATGCAGGAATCTGCTCCTTACGATGCACCAGTGCTCTTTTGCTTCAGCCAATCCAATCAGTGGCCTTTTTATATCCACAGCCAACCTTGTGCAACAGAATTGTTAATCTTGGATAGCATGTGTGTGTGTTTTTTTTTATTGAGGGAAGGGAAAGTGTTTGAGGTTATCTCGCCTGAGTCCGCAAATAGAACTAAACACTGAAAGTTTAATTTTTAGAAGAGATCTTACACCTAGCCTTTTCAGTGTACTTTCTCGGCCTAGGGTGGCTTACAAAGGCAGCTTCCAAATCACATGCCTTAGGTTGCCCATTTGCCAACTTTCACTCCATGAAACTGCACTGTTATCAGGTCATGTCTCCATTTGCCAAAGCTTTGTAGACACAATATCATCAACTATGCCACAATTGTTTTTTTGCAATATTTACTCCTCTTCTACGCTTTCCCCCCCAAAGTAGTAAATCATCGTTCCTTTAATCTCCACATGGCTGTGTGAAAAACAGGAATTTATGTAACAGGCGCTGGGCTGCAAACCTTTTCCTGTTTGGAACTTTTGTTGGTGTTGGCAGTATATGGAGGTGGCTTAGCTCCTCTAAGAGCGACCTTGAATGTCCTTATTATAAGAATACTAGATTGTAACTTTCTGATGACTAAGGAAGTCTGTAGCTTCTGTAAAATGCTAAACACTTCCATGTGTGGATGGATTGAAAGCTGTGGACAGATGTGTGTGTGTGAGTATGAGATAACTCTTGTTTCCATCATAAACACTAATCTTTATAGCTGTGGTGAGGTAGCATATATGATGTGTACAAAACAGTATTTTAAAGCAGCATTATTTATTTGTTTTTGATCAGCATGTTTTTAGCAGAGCAGCTTTCTTGTTTTCTTCGTCAGGTAGAATTTTTGTTCCCCTTTTTTTTCTGAGCAAGCAGGCAACACAGACAGAATGTCACTTGTTTCTGGATTTTCCAAGCCGCGTGGTACTTGAGGCCTGAATACTCAAGAGGCAAACTGGGCATTCATGATAATTTTGTGTGTTACTTAAATATATGTTTGCCTCCTTTACAGAAAAGGGTGGATTTAATGGGCTCTATTTTTCACACAAGGAAGAGAATATGGGGGAAGGAAATGAAATCTGTTGTTTCTCCCACTTGCTGCTCCTTATCTTGCTCTGCTCTGTGGTTGTAAACCATTTCCTCCTGTCCCGTTCTAATTGCCAGAAGTGATCCAGGTTGGCCAAAACAGCAGAGTACTGTATAATGCAAGGAAATGCAGATTTCCCCATACTCTCCCATTTTAGGTGAGAAGTAGATTCCCCCAAAATATTTCTATCCAAACAGAGAAACATCTCTTTAAAATACATGCCACTTAGTTTAGTCCTTAGTTTGCATATTTTGCAATTTGTGCTTGATCAAAGCAGGTTCTGATAAACCGAAACGCATAGCTGGGCATTTACATCCTAATAGTTTGCAGAAGCAGGGATGATGGGTGTCAATAGATTTCTAGACCTACAGGACATCTTCCATTGGAAAGCAGCCACAGTAAAAATGTTGAGGTTTTTTTTCTCATTTTGCTTCAGATCAAAAGGAGAAAATGTGTATTTTCTAGGAGATTAGTAGAGTATTTCATTGGGAAATGAGATTATGTCTGTGGCTGTTGGGTATTAGATAGAATGGATTGTCTGTCAAGAATATAGTGACTGGGAGGGAGTGACGTAATATTTTTCTTACATCTTGCTTCTTTTTTCAGAACTCCATTCGTCACAACCTTTCGTTGCACAGCAAGTTTATCAGAGTGCAGAATGAAGGAACAGGAAAAAGTTCTTGGTGGATGCTTAATCCAGAAGGAGGTAAAAGTGGCAAGTCTCCCCGGAGAAGGGCTGCCTCCATGGACAACAGCAGCAAGTTTGCAAAGAGCAGGGGGAGAGCTGCCAAGAAAAAAGCAGCGCTTCAGACGGGTCAAGATGGAAGCAGCGATAGTCCGGGCACGCAGTTCTCAAAATGGCCGGCAAGCCCCAGTTCTCACAGTAATGACGACTTTGATAATAATTGGGGTTCTTTTAGACCTCGAGCCAGTTCGAATGCTAGCACAATCAGTGGAAGACTTTCTCCGATCCTGCCAGAACAGGATGACCTTGGAGAAGGGGATGTACACTCTATGGTCTACCCTCCATCGACCACCAAAATGGCTTCAACTCTGCCCAGCCTTTCTGAGATGAGCAGTTCAGAAAACATGGAGAATCTCTTGGATAACCTCAACCTTTTATCCCCGAATGCATCCTTAGCTGGATCAAATCAGTCTCCACCTACTACCTTGATGCAGCAATCTCCTGGCTATTCATATACTTCATCAAGCACAAGTATAGGTTCTCCCAATGCGGACTATAGGAAATACAGTTATGGCCAGGCCAGCATGAACTCTTTGCCCCAGATGTCTATGCAAGCACTTCAAGACAGTAAAGCGACGTATGGGACTCTGAACCAATATAACTGCCATGTGGGACTTCTCAAGGAGTTGCTGACATCTGACTCTCCTCCTCACAATGATATCATGGCATCTGTAGATGCTCATGTTTCCCAGCCTAGTGGTCGAGTGCTAGGGCAAAATGTCTTAATGGTCACTAACTCTGCAATATCCCCGTATGGCAGCCAGCAGTCCCATAACAAAATCATTGCCCCAAGTGCCCATGCCCGCCAAGGACATGCCCAGCCAACATCAGGAGTTGTTAACAGCCAAACCTTGTCGCTCACACTCAGCACGGTGTCTCATGCTTCAAGTTTAAGTTCGTCCACAGTGAAAGCCTTAGTACAAGTGCCTATGAGCCACCCAGGGCATATGAGTGGCACAAACCCGTACACCACTGTGAACAGTTGTAACGGTTATGGAAGAGTAGGGGTTGCTTCTTTTCATCAGGAGAAGCTCCCTAGTGACTTAGATGATATGTCGATTGAACGACTGGACTGTGATGTCGAATCCATAATTCGTAATGACCTCATGGATGGGGACACAATAGATTTCAATTTTGACACTGTGTTGCCTAACCAAAGCTTGTCACATGGTGTTAAGACGACGACACACAGCTGGGTGTCAGGATGAGACTTGAAGGTTAGTTCCCCATCTTTTAATGTGTATACTTTGCAATCAATTCCTGGCTTAAAACAGGGCTGGGAGAACTGTGACCTTCCAGATGGTTATGAACCATGGTTTCCGTCATCGCTCACTGTTGACCAAGACTGATTGGGACTGATGGGAGATGGTGTTCAAGAACATATGAAAGATCACAGTCTTACCCTGAGATTTGTTATGTGCCTTTAGCTGTTTAATGACAGGACAAAATTTAGCAGAAGGCCTTAGTAATTAAAAGAAAAGTTGCCTAAACGTGAGACGTTCATGAGCTGTCATACAGGAAATAGAGATTTGTGATCAATATGAATATAATATGTAGTGAAACATGCTGGCCTAGAAATGGTTGTCTTTGCTAGGTCTTAAAAATAACGGAGAAATCCTGCAACATTTAGTTCAGTATGACTTCATAAATATTTTAAAAGCAGGCTTGTACTGATAAGACATTGGTGGACTTCCTTAAAAAAACCTGGATCTTTCATTCTTGGCAGTGTCCAGTATTTCAGTACCAAATATATGCATGACATTTTGTCTTTCATTCCGAATATTTGTGCTTGCTTTCTGTCATTATTTTTCTTTCTGTTATTCCAGGCTCCAGGTGAAAGTTCATCAGACATCTCGGACTTACAAGAACTGAACAAGGGAGTCCAAAGATGGGCTTCAGCCTCTCTTCATTTTTTATCTGTAATGTTTTTTTTTCCTCTTGTCAGGCTTGGCAGCAGATAAATTCCACCACCCCACCACCACCACCATCCCAAGTACAGGACATTTGCCAGATACTTGCAGGTTATTTGCTGCTGTAATTAAGCAGTGTGCCATTTGAAGTGCCAAACTCACTACAGTGTCATAAAAAAGCAGAAGATACTTGTGCATTATGTTCTGTGTTGGCTGTGTGTACAGTATAAAGTGTAAAGTATAATGGTTTATTTAGGTGTGTAATAGAACCAAGAAAAGACTACAAATGTTAATACTGTGGTAGTTTTAAACATTGTTCACTTGCGATCAGCTTTCTTTTGTTCTCCTCATTTCATTGAGAACTGTGTCCTGTTCAGCTGCCTTAAATATATTGAAATTGCTGTATAGTTTTTGTATGAGAGCATATCCTTGATTATGATCTAACCAAAGTTGTTGGCCATTCAGATTTCCACATCTGAGAGCAGGCTGGAAGCTTTGTCACCTTTGTTACTGATTGTACAGTGCATTCATTATGGGGCTGACTTCCAGACTGGTTTATTAATTTTTGTGATCAACTTAAATTTTATAAGAGGCATATAGCTATTTTTTTCTTACATCTCTACTTTGTTATATAAGCTCCTTTAAAATTTGCAGAGTCCAGGATACTTAACAACATTTGTAATGTTTTATATACAGTATTTTAATAAGACTAAAGGGAGAGAATTTATATTAGCACTCTGCAAGATTTATAAAAAAAAAGGTTTCTAAATGTACATTTTTGTGTGGGGTTTTTTTTCCCTGGCAAAAGTGTGATCTGGAGACATGTATTTACAGATAAATTCTGTTAACTGTTCTAACACTGACTCCCCCTCTAAACAAAGTTTTTATGTGTTGTTCTATATGCAGAGTTTCATATTTATTTTATGGACGTTTCATAAAGTTTGTTACCCCAGGGACATGGACCTTTGGGCTTACTGCCATTATCATTTGTAATCTATGTGTAATCACTTGTTGTTACCTATAGCATTTCTAGTTTCTCCTTTACTTTTTACTAACTCCTATTTTCATTTAAATATATTCAGAGAGCTGGAGTGTTGCTTTATGCTTCAGAAAAGAATATATTTTCAAGGAATTAATATTGGTCACAAGTCATGCAGTCCAACCATAAACATAACAGTTTTATTTGCTATTTAGTGATCAGTTTGTTCAACATCTTACAAGGTTGAGAAGGGCCCTTGGTCTTTACAGTTTCACAAGACATGTATAAGAGCAAACTTAGAATATATAGATACATAAGTAAATACAGTATAGGCATGAGCTAATAATTAAGCAATTGCTTGGCAAACTAACTTAATTGGGCATTGTCCCTGTTTTCTGTCACCCTCCCTTCAAAGCCAAGAGCAGAAAATGCTTTAAGTATAACTAGAAAGATACCCAGTGTGGTGTAGTGGATAGAGTGACAGACTATGACTCTAGAAGCCTGAGCTCAAATCCCCACTCAGCCATGGAAACTCAATGAGGGTGAGGAACTGGTAAAGTCATTCCTTAAATATTTCACTTGCCTTGAAAGCCCTGTTAGGCTATAGGTTGCTTCCAACTTGATGACACACCATAAAAACACATAACTAGACAACAGAATGGTTACTTGAGAGTTATGGAATCTTCATGTTTAAATGTTTTAGAGCAATGGTTCCCAACCTTGGGTCTCCAGATGTTTTTAGACTACCAGAAATCCTGGCCAGGACAGCTACTGGTGAACACTTCTGGGAGTTGCAGTGTAAGAACATCTGGGGACCCAAAGTTGGGAACCATTGTTTTAGGGCATCTTCTCATGGATAATTCCTTTGGACCTGGTGCCATATATTTGCTGCCTTTTGCCTCCCTTATATCTCTCCATTGAATGAACGCTTCTGGGAGTTGCAGTGTAAGAACATCTGGGGACCCAAAGTTGGGAACCATTGTTTTAGGGCATCTTCTCATGGATAATTCCTTTGGACCTGGTGCCATATATTTGCTGCCTTTTGCCTCCCTTATATCTCTCCATTGAATTGTTCAGTGACTTTATTTCACTCTTAACCCATTCAGTAGATCATGTGCCCCTATGGGAAAGGGAGGAGCCTAAAAAGGCATGTGCCTATTGAGATTCCTATGCTCAATTCTGTCTTTATGCAATGACTCTCAGAGATCAACTGTAATTTGCCAAGTACACGAAAGATAATAGAAGGGCCTTCTGATAATACTAGATTCTTAAGCAATGTTCTGTTAGTTCTCCCATGAAATTTCTGGGAAGCATTTTAAAATTCTCCCCTGTGTTTTAAACAGTAAACATAAAACTGTCTCTACAAATTGGGAGCAGATGCCCTCTGCTCTCTGGTTTCTTTAGATACTGACAACTTACCTTGCTTGGGTCTGGTACTCAGTGACACCCTTCTAGCGCAGTGGGGGCAAATTCTTCTGTGACCACATTGAAACTAACAATTGAGAAAAGAGTGATATTAGGAGACAAGCAGGATGTGACAGCTGATAAAACATGCTTTTGTATGTATCTTAATTTTTGTAGTGTCTTAGTTTTTTTTAAATGTAAATCATGACTTTGTAAACTAGGTGGATTATTTTATCAAGCTGCTTTGTTTTTGGCTCTCCCACTTCTCTTTTTGTAGATAAGCATTCTACAATAGAACTGTTCTAATGTATTTTTTCTACTGTACTGTATTTTGTATCAATAGCTGCATTGATGTGATCTCTGCTATGATAAACTGACAAGTTCTATAAAATTGTAAGCCAATTTTGTGCTGTTGAATGCTGACCACAGAACATCCCTAAAAGAGAGGAAAACATATTACTAAGGTGGACCAGTTTTTTAGTAGTCTTGTAAGTGCAATTCTACACATGTGTGCTAAGAGGAGACGTCTGCTGTATTCAGTGGGACTTTCCCTCTAGTTAGTGAGCTTTAGAATTGCACCCTTAAGTTTGCACTTGTTCAAATAACTGGATTGGTGTTACTATTTTTTTTAAAGTTCATGTTATAAAATGTTCAAACTTGTTAATTTATTACTAATTTTTTTAAAAATAAGATGAGGGGGGTTGTATTTTATAATTACTTAAAAGTAATGTTGCAGTTCTGCAAGCAAAGAAACGCAATTCTGCATTATATTCTGCGTTAAAAGCTTCTGTATGGAGAATAGTTCCCTCTTTTTATGCCCTCTTGTCTTCTACAATTACTGACATGAAAACAGTTCAGATGTTATTTGTGTGAATTGTTAAGAATGTGATGTCACTTGCTGTACACTTCAGACTATCATTTGGATGTATGTGGAAAGTGCCTGAAGCTTTTCCCCCCCAAACAAAATAATTGTTTGTATAAAGCCATAAATGTATATACCCTGCATAAATGGTATAGTCTTTCATATGATTACTTGTATGCTGATACAGGGTCGTGTTTATTTGTTTGGGTTTGTAATCTTCCAACTTGTCTTCACAGTCATTCTGTGGAATAGGTTGAGGTTTTGTTTCTGTGGTACCTTGGCATTTTTTTTTAAATTTCAGAGGTGCCCAAATGTATTTTATAAATAAATAGAAACAATTATGTCCATTTTATAGATGGGAGATAAGGCTAAGGATCAACAACTTGTGAAAGGTTATGGCTGGGCTTAGATTTTGGGCCTCATCTCTCTATGTTAAATCTAGCATTCCATTCACTGCACCACATAAGGGATTCCTTAGTTCTCTTTTTATTGAACGATCCTCTGTGATATTTTCTTCCTGTGTGCAACATTTGCTACCATAAAGCCGGGAAATCTGCAGGACTCCAAACTGTACAACAGTCCCCTTATCAGGTTAACTCAACTTTCACAATTTCTCTTGGCATCTCTATTCCTAAAAGCTTGTGACTTGTGAAGAGGGGAAAGCATATTGGACTGAGAAAAATGAGATGACTGAAGAGCATTCCACAACTCCAAAACAATGGAAAGTGTCCTTTCTTCACTGACAAAAAAGTTCAGGGCAATATCCCTGGTGATGTGCATGTTCCAGTCTCTGTCCAGTTGGCCAGATAAAGGCAGCATTTTCAAATGGGTATGAAAAAGCCAGGGCAGCAGCCAAAAAAACGAAAAGGCCAGTGCAGTCCACACTAGCTGTTGTTTCTGAACCATCTCTTAAATGCGGCTCTCTGTAAACTATGTTTCCAGTAGCTAAGCCCTACATGTTATAGAAACAAAATCCTTGTTCCCCAGCAGGAAAGACAGCTGGCATATCAGGGGCAGCTGAGGAAAACAGTCCTTAACATGATGGGCTCAGTGGTGGCTGGGTATGAGGAGGGATGCCATATTCTTCAATGGAGTAAGTCCTGCTTCATCCAACAGACCTTTGACTCTTGAAGGACACCAGGATTCCATAGGAACATTATTTCTCTCTTTGCCTGGATTCACCATTCACTTGGCTGAATTATATCTTTGCTTAAAGAGCAGCCTTGTTGGGCTCTTTGAATCCTGCAATACTGGAACTAGGCCAACGGGAATAGCAGTTGACGAGCTGGTGTTTCTCATATGAGACTGGAAGGTTTTTCTTTCAAAACTCAAGGTGCAAGTAAATGCAGAATAAAACACAAAACAAAACTTCTGGCTTCCATTTGTGGACTCCCTTTTGTTCTTAGAATGGAAGGGGTGATATGGTTGGGTTTAGTCTTGCAAAAGAATTCCAGATTTGATAAAGCATAAGCCCGTGCAGCGTCTATAGGAATATGGAATTTTGTGCAATCTATTCATTTTCTTTTTTTTCTTTTTTTTAATTGATATTCTGCTGAGCCTTATATAAAGGCACTAGTAAAGAATCCTGACACCACCTAACTAACTCAGCCTGAACTGCCTGTTTGAAACACTGTAGAAAATGTATCAACATAAAACAAACAGTGGTGAGATGATGTTAGGCCTCCTAATTTCCTAAATATACCCAGTGTAGTGTAACGGATAAAATGATAGATAAGAACTCAGTAGGCCTGAGTTCCAATCCCTACTTAGCCATGGAAGCTCACTGGGAGTGTGGAGCAGGTAAAGCCACTCCTTATCTCTCCCACTTCCCTTAAAAGCCTTATTAGGGTTGCTGTAGGTTGGTTCCAACTTGATGACACACAACAACGTCATGAATACATTTACTATCTTCAGTGTACCCAGACATGTAGTGTGATGTGCACAATATGCATGTACATTTTTGCTAAACTGCTCCCTCAACTTGAAAAAACTGCAGAGCCCCTTAAACTGAGCTGTTTCACTGTGCTTGTTTGGTATCTTTTTATATTTCATGGGGGATGTTTTCAGGTCTTGGGGTACTGCCAAACAGATGGGTGTTAGTGTTTCAGTTCCAAAGGTCCTGGGCAGTTGTTCTGTTTTCCATCCTTAATACTTTGTTTTATTTGATTTTGGAGGAAAGAAAAACGATGGAAGAAATGTGGAGAACTACAAAGAGGAGACATCATCTGGACTCCACATAAAATTCTGCAGCCTAAATCCAGTTCTTAGTCCCATCTGTGATAGACCCCTTGAATCAATTGCTGAATGGTACATTAACCACTGTGTAAATCCTGTTGGCTCAGTTCTTGTTGGGACTGTTGGATTTAGGCCTGTGAACAAGTCAAGGTGGTTCCACAATAAAAGGTTCATATGGATGTATCAGCTTTAGTTTCATCATTTCTGCCCCCACAAATAGTTCAGGCTTGATTTGCTCTAGAACCCACTTCTTTTCTGGCAGTGCAGGGTATCTGCATAGCTCTCCTCCAATACCACATTTCAAAGGAATCCATTTTTTTCCTGTCAGCTTACTTTACTGTCTAGCTTTTATCCCCATACATATGTAGTGATTGGAAATACAAGAGTATGGATGATCTTGGTCTTGGACTCCAGTGACACAGTGAGCATCTTTTCTAATTCCTTCATTGCTGCCCTTCTGAGCCTCAGTCTTCTTCTGATTTCTTGGCTGCACTCTCCATTTGGTTCAGTGGTTAAACCAAGATATACAACATCTTTCACTATTTCAATTTCTTCATTGTCAGGGTTAAAGTTGCATAGTTCTTCTATACTTGTGATTTTGGTCTTTTTAATGTTCACTTGCAGTTTGGCTTTGGCACTTTTTTGTCCAGTTTTGCTAAAAGTAATTCCAGTTCATTGCTGCTTTCTGCCACTAACATGGTGTCATCTACATATCTTAGATTAGTGATGTTTCTTCCCCCAATTTTCACTCCTCCTTCATTTGAATCTAGCCTGGCTTTCCATGTGATACATTCTGTATACAGATTGAACAGATAAGGGAATAAAATGCACCCTTGCCTGACACCTTTGCCTATAGGAAACCATTCTGTCTCCATATTCTATCTTAATGGTAGCTTCTGGTCCACAATACAGGACAGGTTACACATCAGGACAATCAAGTGCTGAAGCACACCCATTTCTTTCAGAACTACCCATAGTTTCTCATGATTCCAACAGTCAAAGACTTTGCTGTAGTCTATAAAG